GAGAGATGAGACAAGACAAGACAGTAAGACAGTAAGACGGATACAGAAAAGGAGAGATGGGAGAAAAAGAGGAAGGAAGGATAAAGGAAGGGAGGGGAAAAGGAGTTCCATGGTATACATGGGATTCCTCCTACTAAAAGATGGAAACGTTTGAAGCATCTTGCAAGACGGAGTCACATCTATGGAAATAATTGATTTGCTGCTAACTTACATGTGGCATTCAACAGATGGAAAGACACAGAGAGACAGACAGACAGACAGACAGACAGACAGAAAGAAAAATAGAGAAAGAGTAATAGACAGAAAGAAAAAGAAACAGAGAGACAAAGAGACAAAAAGAAAGACAGATAGAAAAAGAGGGAGAGAGACAGATACAAAGACAAAGAGAGACAGAGAGAGATAGAAAGATAAAAAGAGAGAGAGAGAGAAACATAGAGATAGAGATAAAGTCAGAGAGAGAGAGACAGAGAGAGAAAGACAGATAGAAAAAGAGAGATATAGGTAGAAATACAAAGAGAGACACACAGATAGAGAGACAGCGATAGGCAGAAAGATAGAAAGATATAGACAGAGATAAAGTCAGAGAGAGAGAGAAAGACACACAGACAGAGATAGACAGAAAGATAGAGACAGAGAGAGAGAGAGAGAAGGTCAGAGAGAGAGGTCAGAGAGAGAGAGAGAAACGTAGAGATAAACAGATAAAGTCAGAGAGAGAGAGAAAGACAGATAGAACAAGAGAGATACAGATATAAATACAAAGAGAGACACACAGATAGAGAGACAGCAATAGACAGAAAGTTAGAAAGATATAGACAGAGATAAAGTCAGAGAGAGAGAGACACACACACACACACAGAAACAGAGATAGACAGAAATATAAAGAGACACACAGAGAGAAAGCTAGAGATAGAGAGAAAGAGAGAGGGAGGGAGAGAGAGAGAGAGAGAAGGTCAGAGAGAGAGAGAGAGAGAAAAATGTAGAGATAGACAGAGATAAAGTCAGAGAGAGAGAGAGAGACAGAGAGAGAGAGACAGATAGAACGAGAGATATAGATAGAAATACAAAGAGAGAGACACAGACAGACCGATAGACAGAAAGATAAAGAGAGAGAGAGAGAGAGATAAACAGAGATAAAGTCAGAGAGAGAGAGAGAAGGACACACACACAGAGACAGAGATAGACAAATATATAGAGACAGAGAGAAAGGGAGAGAGAGAATGAAAAGCTGTGAGGAAACTTCTACCTTCTCGGACAGAGGGAGGACGATGACCGTCATGGTCCCGGTGTGCATTCTCTGCATTCTGGAAGACAAGCCGCTCTGGGGGATCCGCTGCACCCGGTGTGTCCCTCCTTCAAACTTCAAGCGTTGGTAGGCGTGGCTGCCCAAGACTCGGGCCGCTGCGTGGTGGAGCCCCCCTTAAAAAAAGCAGAACCTGTTCATTGGGGGAGGGAGCGGAGGGGGGGACCCCATGGAGATATCCGGGCGAGGGGCTTCTCCTACCTATCTCAGCTCGGCAGTACTTGGTGACTTCAAACGTCCAGCCTTTGTATTCTGCGTAATTCTGGTACATGTCGAAGATTTCTCTCGTGAACTGCTGGCAAATGTCGCCTGAAACATAAAATCCGCTGAAATCTCAGCATGAACAATATTTTTTATAAAGAATTTGCAAGCACGACGAAGGACAAGGCCGTCCTCAACTGTTCAAAGTAACAACAGCACTGAAAAGAGAGACTTATGACCGTGTTTCAAAGTTACGACGGTTGCAGCATCCCCACACTCCAGAGTTACAACCATTGCCGCATTCCCACGGTCCAGAGTTTCGACCATTGCCGCATTCCCACGGTCCAGAGTTACGACCATTGCCGCATTCCCACGGTCCAGAGTTACGACCATTGC